CACACAGTAACACAAACACACTAACCGATCGAGGCAGCAGTAGAGCAGACACTCTGTGTCCTACGAGGTCAAATTACTGTTTTTATTAAAGGAGTCTGGTAGCGTTAAAGAGAACCGAGATAAATGCTTCAATTCTCCAGTGCTGATACTCCAAACTGCCGACCGCCATCTACTGTAGTAATACACTGACTATGGAGAAGTACTTCATACAAACCCATACCCAAATATCGCATGTCCAGTATTAAGTTTGCTCTGTTCAGCTTAATGCAAAACCTTAATGTCATATCTTAGGCTGTTGAGAGGCATTGTGGGAAATGTAGGAAATCAATAAAAACTGGAAAAGCAGACAAGGCAGGTACAGCAAATACTTATCTTGCAACATGCAATGTAACTGATTCATAACTCCAGAAGTGTATCTCAGGGTGTGGTTTACCTTCTCTATTTGCATAAGTGACAAAACAAAAGGAGAATTGAGAGTCGGGCGAGGAGAGGGAGGAGCAGTGTGAAAGGAGGAGGTGGGGAGATCAGAGAAAAAGAGTTGATGGATTTCCTGTCTGAATAGATGAGGAGGAGGGAAGCTGTTTGATCAATGAGCCGTATGTCCTCTCCGCGCCCCGACTGGAGAGAGTTTTCACTCCGCATGAACAAAACGTAAATGTAGTTTTCCTCAATTCAAACCTCTCCTGCTGCTCGTGGATCCCGCGTGTGAAAAGACAATAATGAATGAGCCGCTATTTCTGACATTTGTGGAGAAAGAAGCAAAGTCCTGCCTAAAGTTTTCTGACCATTTGTAGCGTAGCAGAATATTTCTCTGAATCAGCTTGATTTTTTTAGGACTTTAGTTATAAAGGAATAAATAAATGGCTTATTTCTCCTCATCTTTATTCCCTCTCACCTATCATCCAAATGATTGCCCTCATACATGCCTTCTCTCCTCTGCTAACTGCCCCATCTGTCTACCTCTCCCTCTAATTGTCCCTGTCCTTGTAAATGAGACATTCACCCCGATTCCCTTCTCATCCATATGGCTAACCTCCTCACTTCCTCCCGCACTCATCATCATCATCATCGTGCCTATAAATTAAAGCGTCCTCATTTCCCTTCACCTTTCTCCTCTGGCAGCTTGCATAAAAAATATACATGCATGCACCGACACAAAGTTGTGCAGTGATGTACAAATCATGCATATTTAAATACTTTAAACTTTAGAATATGCATGATGTTGAACAACTATTTATGGACAGGTTTTTGGAATTGAATGCGGCTGTAGGCGATCACGTCATGCCGTTTCAAAGATGCATGTTAGCTGCGAGCTTAAAGCAAGTGAATTAAAGAAGCGAGTACATTTTTTATTTAAGACGGCATCAACAAAGAGAAAGTAGAAGGAGGGAGAGAGAGAGACTCTTCTTACCTTGAGCTTCATCATCGAGTCCTGGCAGAGTCTGTCTCCACGGGCGGCGGTGACCTCGTCCAGGCCGATGAGCTTGGCCTTGTAGCGGACGCCATCACCCTTAAAACGCCTGATGAGAGCCGCCTCGCTGCGATCCTGCCCTGCTGACACACACAAACACACACACACACACACACACACACACTCATCAGTCCACGGTACATCTTCCAGTCAAGGACCTCCGTCTACCTCAGACCAGAGCTATTACCTCGGGATCATCAATCAAGTAGACCACAAGACTTCAGCAGTAATCTTACAAAACAACAACAACAACAACCACAGTGCAGGTCAAAGCTACGGATGCTAGCAACATGTTCCTGAGTGTATGGCACTGGTCAATACACAAAGACGCATCAATTAATGGAAATTCAGCGGGATTAGAGTTTAAACTGCGATCGCTCTCCTCTCTGGCTATTTCTCCTGCAGGATAACGGTGTGACATTTTGCTCTTATCTCCTCCCTCCCCCCCTTCCTCCCTTCTCGCCCTCTATTCTGTCCGAGATTGTCGGCATTGTGCGCAAGCATTCGTGTCGCCATGGCGTGCGTGTGTTGACCTTGCTCTTGTCCAGGAAGAGTCTGTGTGTTATCTGCTGAAGTGACTACAGCGCTGCTCTTCACACACAATGCAGAGCAGAGGGAGAGAGACTTTCTCTTTGTGTCGCGCTCTCTCCATCTTTCTCCCATTTCCGTTTCTCTATCTCTGACCTGCAGTGCGCAAATATTTCATCATCAAGTGTCGTATAGGGGAAACACTCCTGCATCTGTGTGTGTGTGTGTGTGTGTGTGTGTGTGTCTGCTTTGTGTTTCTGAGTGTGTACGATGTAACAGACTGCAAGAGCGATAGTGAGAGGGAGAGGCGTAATGATAATGCCTCGATATATTATCTGAATATGCTGCATTAGTTCTGTACTCTATAACAGCGTGACTCTTGGAAGGTCATAGTGGGAGTGATGGAGAGGTCCCACTCCTCTTTTGGTTCTTTCACACTCTCCTTCATTCACACAGAGTTCCCACAGCATTGCAGTAGAGTAGAAATGAGTCCTTTAACCATAGGCAAAGCATCGTGTCATATAGCTCATATAGAAGAGACACATCAACTAGAGTGTGGATTCAAATGATGTTTGGGTCGGGTTTGGTCTACTTGACCAGAGTGCGCTGTGGCCCTCAGAGTGACTATTTACAAACGCACCTCTGTAACACAAACTCAGAGCTCTGAGATTAAACGGTTTCGGATTTAAAAAAAACAATGTCCGTTGGGCTCGGTTATTACTCCCTCGGACTCGGGTCGAGTCTATTTCAAAAGTGACCACAATGACACTCACAAACTACAATGAAAAGGGTCAAAACAACCACAAAGAGACACAAAACAACCACAAAGACACAAAACAACCACAAAGTGACACTAAACTACAAAGAGACACTAAACAACTACAAAGAGACACAAAACAACTACAAAAAGACACAAAACAACCACAAAGAGACACAAAACAACCACAAAGAGGCTCAAAACAACCACAAAGAGGCTCAAAACAACCACAAAGTGACACAAAACAACCACAAAGAGGCTCAAAACAACCACAAAGTGACACTAAACAACCACAAAGAGACACTAAACAACTACAAAGAGACACAAAACAACTACAAAGAGACACAAAACAACTACAAAGAGGCTCAAAACAACCACAAAGAGGCTCAAAACAACCACAAAGAGACACTAAACAACCACAAAGAGACACTAAACAACCACAAAGAGACAAAACAACCACGAAGAGACACTAAACAACTATAAAGAGATACAAAACAACTACAAAGAGACACTAAACAACTACAAAGAGACAAAACAACTACAAAGAGACAAAACAACTACAAAGTGACACTAAACATGACTGAACAGACACAAAATGACCACAAAGAGACATATACCACAGAGAGATGCATAACAACATCAAAAACACAAAATGATCAACTACAACATCTATAAAGTCTGTGTGTTTTGCTCCTCTGTAGGAGAGGCGGTGGGGCCTTTTGCATTTCTGTGCCCAGGGGCCCCGTTTCATAATCCACCCATGATCTCCCACCTCACGCTGTTTTGTCTGCCGACCCACACATGAACACACATAAAAACATGCCCATTTTTTAAATGCTTCATTACCACCCTCTGAATTAAATCATATTAGCGTGGGGTTCTGGAGGTCAGACAGCATTTAAGGACATTTATTAAAAGGCCTCATTACCAGAGAAATAACAGGATTATTATGGTGGGTTGGCCCTTGCGTAAGTAGCCCTGCACTGTGAATATCTGTTAGAGCAAGTTCTTAAAGTCCAAGGCTGCCGGAGATTATGTTTGTGAAAATTCATCCGTCTGAACATCCTTGTCCCATGTGATGGAAAAATAGGCAAACAAGAGGAAAAAACACATCACTTAGTTCTCCATTGATTTAAAAAAACAATACCTACACACACACGCGCACACACACATATATAAACGTGGTGTGGATGAGCTCATTCCTCTGAATCATTGAGCAGACACTCACTCAGTCCTACTTAGAGTAAATCATGACTGTCTGCCTCAAAAGTCTTCAGAGACAAAGGAGCTGTAGAACATCTGTCCTTATTTCGGAGAGAGTAAGAGAGAACAGCTCTCTGTGTTGTGTGTCACGTCTCAGTTGGGCTGAGATGAGAGTAAGTGATTAAACCACCGGAGGATTTGTTTCTGTTTGACGCAGAAAACATTTAAATATTGCCTTCATTAAATTTGAAACAGACCCGTGAAATGTGCATACAAGCGAGAACACACATTAACTCGCTCAGCGGCTCTGATGACCCCGCCATCGCTTCTCTCCGTGGAAACAACATGAAACATGCCACTACTGTTCATACTACACAGGATATATTCCACAGATCTTAGGCCTTAGGGGGGACATTGGTATCGGGCCCCGTATCACACGGCCTGCATGCTTGTGTGTGTGTGTACATCCTCGTGCATAATGCAAATAAAACATTGCTCCAGAGTGCTACTAGTGGTCAAAACTCAACACGGGGAAAATAAAAATCATTTTGAAGTCCTCATATGAGGATCACATAGTCTGGGCGGTGCAGACTATGTGTGTACGTACACGTGTGAGAGTTAAATAACACCGGATGTGTCCAGCTGCTTCTGTCTCGCTGGAACAGCGGTTTTCATTTGAGTTTGACATTTAAGACCGGCTCCCTCCATCTGCATCCATCACCGTTACTGCTGCTGCACTCAGCACACACAGAGGGTCCAGGGTTACTTCTCCTGCTGACTGCGTTATGTTATTACCTTTAGGAAGCATGTTCCATGAAAGGCCTCCCTGTGTGTGTGTGTGTGTGTGTGTGTGTGTGTGTGTGTGTGTGTCAGCACAAGAAGCATTCAGTCTGCTGTAAATAAATGTCTGTTATTGCTGTGACCCCGCTGAGCTTCAAACACAACTAATGAAAGAATCTTCCATTTCATCTGTCACGGCTGCTCCGCACACACACACACTCACTGGCCACACCAGCAGCTTCAGTAAAGCTGTTAACACCTTACATTGTATATGCGTGTTTGTGTATCGGAGTACTTGGTATGCAGGACTGCTTTGACTGTCTGTCTGAAGCAACAAGCAGGGGGGGGGGGAAGACGACAAAGCGCAGAGCGAGGGATAGAACGTGATGGATGGATGAATGAGCGCGGCCTCCATTGGATAAATGTCACTCAGGATTAGAGCGTTATGACAGGCACAACCTCCCCTGACTCCTCTCTCTCTCTCTCTCTCTCTCTCTCTCTCTCTCTCTCTCTCTCT